TGAAGATATTGTGCGTCAGCCACTACCGAACAATCTCCGCGCAAAGATCCTGGGATGTGGTGTTGCTACTGTTGAAGACCGTGACGAGGGCGATGACGAAGATTTTGTTCCCGTTAGTGATGAACGTCTGCGGGCTTTTTGCGCAAAAGTGATGCAAGAGCGAAGACGGCGTAGAGGAATGAAGGGAGACGAGACACCGCAGGAAATGAAATGCGGTGGTAGATCAAGGTCAAATAGTGCAAAAGGGAGCGGGCCGTCTTCCCCTGTTTGGTACCGATGCCCCCGTGGGGATTGTAACTTCTCCGGTACTAGAGGGGAGAACGCGACTGCCCCTGACACCGCCGTAACCGCGCGCAATCCACGTAGAGTTGTTTTCACGAGGGTTGGGTATGGTTCTGATGAAGACGGCGCTTCCCTTCTAAGTGGCGATGCGGGCGCCCCTGCCGTCGAGGGAAGCGAGAGAATAGTCGCTGATCTAGGAAAAAACGATAATTATCCGGTGCCCCAAGGCGGCACGGGGGAAGGAAGAGGGCCTGCTACATGCGCTAGGTCGGTCATGGGGTATCAAAGCTACGCCGAGTGCGATACGCCACGGTTGGATTCAGTTAGTAGTATATGGTATTTTGGAGATAGTGCAGAAAAATGGAAGAATCACCACCTGTGTGGTTCATCAATCCCTACAGTCTCGGGAAGAGTCGGCTTCGGAGAGGAGGAAGTCGTCCCCGATCTCGATTTTTGGGAGCCCTCCACCTTTCAAATGGTTGCAAAAGAAGAAAACGGTGTGGCCCCCGGTGTACCCAGAGATGCTTTGATATCTCCGGTTAGAAAACAAAGGGACGCGTTTGCAACCAATAAGGGGGATGTTTTGACTCCGTTGAGTGAGAAAGGTCCAGATACACAAGCGCATGGCACTCGGCATCCTACGTACACACTGAAAGCGCGAAGAGCAATAAGAAGGCCATCATTCCATGAAATTGTGGTTTTCCAGCCTCTATCAGTAGCTGGCATACAGAGAGCCACGCCAAGAGGCAATGGCAATGCTCGCCCATCTGAACCTACGCCGCCCCTTCCATCTCTCGGGGGGATCTCGGCGGGGGGGCACGACAATGGGATTGTAGGAGGCGCATCAAATACACCCCCCAGCTTTGCTCGATCACGTTGCGGGGGAGGGGAAAATCAATCGACGAAATCGCCCTCAGCAGAGAGAAGGCGGCCACGACCACCACTTCGGCCTTCCCCTAGAGGTTGCGAAGAAATACCGAGCGCGGGAAAGAGTGAATATCCACAGAAACCCGAACACCCAGATGGAGGTGACGCACGTTTAGCAGCCCATTCGCCCCGTTTTGGGAAACTTCCACAGCTGACTATTTTTATTCGATCGCAGCAAAATATAGACGCCAGGGAATAGCGAGGTGAATGCGGTGTCTGCGCATGTGGCAGAGACGACTAGCAATTTTTTTTTTTGGAATCGGCAATAAATACTGTACGAATTTCGTTACGTTGGGGGAAGCACCAATTACCACTATCATCGTCGAGTTTTTCTTTTGATTAAACACCAAAAATACGGATAAAATACACGAACAAAGCGAAACGCTCCTTTGGCGGGGGGGTGGCATTGTCATTCATGAAGAGCTGAAGCGGCGAAATATATATCCTTCACGCACTGTTTTTTTGTTGCGATTTTATCTTTTTTTGCTCTGTGTGTAATTTTTGTGTGTGTTGGTGTTTTGGTTGTGAGTGTCGTTGATTTTTTTTTCATTTGTTATCTGTTTTCATGTAACAATTAGAGGTTGTCCCCTTGTATGGCCTTTGCCTCGCCCCACCCCCACCCCCAAAACAAGAGATCCACCCCGACTCGATACTAAGAATGGACATCGGCACCTACCTGTGCTTCTTTCCTTACCGCACGTACCTCAGCACTCCAGAAGTGCTGAGAGGGATTTCGAGATGTTGACTTGGGACGTGTGCACCCCATCCCCTCATTTACGGAAATTGCGGCCACCGCCGCAGTGGCGTAGCAAATGCGTAAGAACAGAGATAAAGAGGATATTTTTTTTTTAATCATCATCCTTTGCCTTTCTTGTTGTTGGTTGTTGTTGTTTTTTTGCTTTTCTCGTCTATTTTCTTGTTTTATAAAGGTACAGGTATACTACGAAATGAACAAGGGGAAATAAATAAATACAGTGTGTGAAAAGTGCAGAAGGGTTTTATATGGAGAGGCATCTGTGGGAAAAGTTGCGTGGAACTAATGTTCTTCTATGCAGTGTCACCTTCTCACTCGGTGTTGCTGTGGCTGTGAGATGGGTGACCAATCGCTGGGCCTCTCAAATGCGTCTTCGCAACAGGGTGGTGATTCTAGCTTTTATTAGGAAAGCTGTGGAGGAGTGGGAAGAGCCCTGTTTGCGGGAGGTAGAGGAGCTACTTATCACAGCCCCGAAAAGTATGGTGACGACGACGACGACGGCGCAGTGTTCAGGTATACTCGATGGTGACTTGCTTTTCAAGGAATCAGATGCGGATATAAAAGACAAGGAAAGCATTGCTCCGTTTCACGGTTCAGTGCGTTCCATGGCGTATGCGCATGGAGTGGATTTGGATCAGTGGTTGCGTTTGTGGCGCATGGGACGCTGCGTATGCAACTCGCTATTGGAAGATATGCTGTTAATAGAGAGATTGGGATATATTATAAAGTATGTTGCGTTTCGACGGCTTGCATTGATGGCAGAAGCTCGATATTATGCGGCGGTGTGGCGCAGTGCTGTGTATGGTGGATGTTCTGATAATCAGGCAGGAATCCATGTACCAAAGCCACTCATACCACCGTGGCTTGTGGGACGACGTCCTTTTTGGATCGTCCCCTTGTCTGGATTAGAAACGGGACGGTTCTTTTGCATTCCTTTAAGTTACTTTCCCGTTGAGACTGTTCTTACCAGTAAGGCGGAGGAAACGTGGATAAAAGAACTTGTGGAGATGTTGCCAGAAATCGCTGGACAAGAAGCCCTTTGGTTTCTTCCAGCGGTGTGGCGAAAAAAAAGAACTCTGAAGCTTGTGCGTTCCCTTGTAGAATTAAGGTTCCCCAATGCATGGCAGCGGTTGTGGGGAGAGATAGATCGTCTCTTCAACACACATGGCATAAGCCTTGCCAAGAGACAGTTGGAGAGACATGAAGAAGCTTGTCAGCGTTTCTATCGGGAGAAATTGTTTAAAAGTGTTGAATTGGTAACGGGGGAAGGAATAGATTTGGAAGGGTCTGAGGAAGAAGCTTCTTTTGGTCAGTTGTTAAGTTATAGGGAGAGGATTGCTGGTCGTGACGTTTTGTTGCGTGATGTCTCCGTGTCTGGTAGACTTCAGTGGCTACTTCGCCTTCGCTCAATGAGTCACGCAGTACGGGTAGCCATTGGATTAATAGCACCACCCTGCAGCTTCTATGCGGAATGGCTACTGTTTTCGGCTATTTCGTCAGCCACAAATAATATGGAGCGTGAAAGAGTTCTAGCGGAGTTCTCACGGCATGTCCTCCGGGGTGCATTCGCTGCTGTTTCAGGTGCCTTGCTTCGCTCATTAGATGATGCGGTCAAGAGAAGAATATACACATTATTGCGCGATGAGTTAAGCCATGAACTGGCCGTAAAACTTGCAACAGTCGATGAGGCCTTTTTGCGGCGCTGTATAGATAATGGAGCTCTTGGAAGTGACAACCCTGTTGAAAAATCTTTTATGTACGCTGAAAATGTGGCATCACAAATTATCAGTCGTTTTGATTATGAGCAGCGCAGCTACATGGCACGCTCTGTTGTGGTACTTTTCAGTGTATGGCGCCGGGAAGTCGATATTGCAGTATTTGCAGCGGTTATAGCAATGATAGACTATCGTGTCTTGATACAAAAAATCTGTCACTGGTTGGGAATAACTGTGACGAAGGAACTAAAACACGAGTTGATGCGCATAGAAGCGGAACCGCTCCCAGTAGTGCCACGCTACGGTCTACGAATTATGATGGAAATCTTGGCAGATGAAGGAAAAAAGGCTGCGGAGCAACAGAATAGAGAAGGGGAGGAGAGGGCGCATTGCCGACCCGAAGGAAAAAGCTCGTGGCCTTTTCTTGCACTGGTTGTTTGCGGGGGAACCTTTCAATTGGAATGGCCAACGGTTGGTTTCACCTTTGGCAATGATGATGTCTCAAAGCTATGCTGTCTTGAGCGTCTTGAAAACCTGTTTAGCAAAGTAATCGTTTCTGATAATAACCATATTTATGGTGGCAGCTTCTTGCCTTGGGCGCCGGAATCCCCAACGGCCCTGCAAAAAATAACTGCGAGTCCACTTGTGGAAAGTCTCAGACTGGATGCAGCCTGTGTCAAGGAGTTTGTATTAAATGCGGCTTTTAAGACATGCGACGTGCCTGCAAGCACTCGGGGCTGGGAAAACATTGGGCAAACACAATTAATAAATAGTAAAAAAGCCCAGGCGTTGCTGCATGCCGAAGAAATGGAATTATTGAGCGATACGCGAGCCATGGACCATATTCCCCATTTGCTTTCTTTTGAAGATATTTTTGACAAACCTCCTCGGTTCATTCTTCGTCAATTGGGCCTGGAGACCATATTTGCCTACAGGGCGGCAACGGCGGTTCAGCAGAGGGAGAGTCACTCCATAAAGGAGACTCTTACTGATTTTGTTTCAAGCCCGTTTCGCAATATGTTTACGCAGATTTTTTTGCATTTATTGGAATTTATTGAAAAGGTATTGTTTTTTGCCCTTTTGAATAATCGTGAAAAGCTGCCATTGCTTTCATGGCGGGTGGTGTGTAAGTTTTCTGGCGGGGTTACCACGGCTAAAACTGCGGGTTGGGATGCTATTTCGCTTTGGGGGCGCATGGGTGGTTATTCTGCGGCGCTGAAAGAGTACGGAGATTGTAGCTTTGGTCCTCCTTTTCGTCTCAGTCAGCAGATTGCACGCTATTTGCCCACTAATTTGGACGATACTTCACCGATTCATTATGCCCCCATCTTTAAAGAACGCCGCCGGGCGTGGCAAAGGAAAATCCAACGACAACAAAGGAGATATCCTAAGAACATAAAATTTGATGATGTTGGGCGTATTATTGGAAACTTTTCCCTTACCAAAGGTATTGATTTTTGTGGTGTTTACTTTGCCTACCCGCAGCTTCACCATCATCTTGAGGATGGTTCTTTGTTGCCGGCTTTATGCGATGTCACGATGAAATTTCCAGCAGGTGAAATGACGGCCATAATTGGTGAAACGGGGTCTGGAAAAAGCACTATACTAGGTTTGTTGAAACGCATGTTTGACCCAATACCAACACTATGTATTGACGAAGATGAGACTGAAATCTGGAGGAAAAGTGAGTGGATGGTTGAAAACATTCGTTCGTGTTTAGGTATATGTTTGCCTTTGCCAACGGAGGAAGTTCCTTTATTAAACCTCATTTTGTTAGATGGCATTCCTATGGGTTGCTTTTCCACATCTTACCTTCGGAGTGGCATTGGTATGCTGGAGCAAAGCCCTTGTATATTTGAGGGGCTTTCTTTTTTTCAAAACATTACTCTTTTTACACCTGGTGCCTCCATTGGTGATGTCGAGGCCTCGGCGAAAACTTGCCAATGTGAGGGTTTTATTTTCTCCCGCCCACTGGGCTACGAAGCTTTGGCCGGCGAACTCAGCTGTGGGGAAAAACAGCGCTTGTCTCTGGCGCGCGCTGTGGTGAGTGGCAAGGGTGGCTGGGGTATTCTTTTGCTTGATGAGCCGACGGCGCGGCTGGACGGGTATAACGGGGGCTTGGTGGAAGACGCGGTGGGGGGTGTTGGGGGATGCTTTACGGCGATTGTGGTTTCCCACCGTCTCTCCACACTGCGGTCCGCCACTCGCGTGGTTGTTCTCGGCGACGGCCGGGTGGCGTACCAGGGGCCGCTCTGGGATCGTCCCGGGGCGAGTTTGTTTCTTCAGCGCCTTGAAGCGGCGCAGGTTTTGAGGGCCTGACCCTGGGTTTTAATTGATTTTACCGCGCATAAGCAAAAATAAGACACCCAGTACCGATAAAAGTCCGCGCCTTTCTTCCACCCAAGGGGTGAAGGGAGGGAAGGGTAGAATACTGTTGTTTTCAAAGCGTGCTTTGTTTCGTTCTTTTTTGCGCGTGAGAGACGCCCTTTAAGAGGAGGAAGGAATCAGAGATTTCCCTTTGCAAGCCCCACCCCGCCGCTATCTCTTTAGGGGTGGCGGGCTGTTTCCTAGAAATTCCGTTTGCGGGGCTGCCTTTGGACGCCATGCAGATCCATGTAGCGCGCACCCGGCGCTCGCGCAGCACCGTGTCGATGGCCAAAAGCCCGCGGACTAAAAAGCACGATTGGGTGCCGGCGTTTTTTTTTTTTCTTTTATTACGCGCAACGCCGTTGAACAATTCACGCATATGCGCGGCGGGCCCCTGAGGTAGCGATGAAAACGAGGAATGCC